TCTCACTCTGCCTGCTCCCATTCTTTTTCAGATTCAATTTAGAACGCTTTTTGAGGTTGAAAACCTGCCATTGATTTTCTTCAGCTTTTTTTCTCAATTATCTCATTTGATTGGGTTTCTGTTGATTTGATTCTATTCCTAGGCAAGTGACTTCCATATATTGATGCTCTTAGAAAAACATCCTTTTACTCCAATCTTAATACTTTTGTTTGGATTTTATTTCATAGTTTTCTAGGAGGGCCAAGCTAAAACATGACCTAAACACCTGCTGGGTGCCAAGCAATGTGTTCTGAGCGTCTCTCTTATGGGTCATACACAAGACACCTGCACTAGCTTGCTTTCCCCGGGACTCCAAAAACTTCCAGAAGGCAGCTGATGTTCAGTTTTATGGGGTTTGCTGCTGTGTTTGTTACCATGTGAGTGAAGAGCTATCATCCCTTAAATTTTGGAAAGAAAGAACTGAATGTTAGTTGTAGCCTGAATGGATCTGAATAGTAGTTAATTCAGCAGGGACTGAATGTTAGGCTAGAGAATGTAGTAATAAAGAGAATATAAGGAACTGATGGAAGAGAAAGGATATTCCACGGTTCCTGGAAAGCTGATTTTACATTTAACCAAAGTACAGTACCATTTTATCATGCTGACAGGAGGAAGAGCTGGAAGAAATGTTCACTGGCTGGTAGAGTTGTCCACTAAGGCTGCGTTTTTAAATCCCTGCTCATTGTGCAGAGATCAAATAAGCCTTTGTTGTGTTTTAGCTTCCCCGAGTCAGCTTGGAGGGAAAATGCTAACCTTTCTCTGGGTCAAAGTTGTGAAACAAAGCAAAAAACAACAAACGTAACGTTTTAAGGCCGGGCGCGGTGGCTCAAGCCTGTAATCCCAGCACTTTGGGAGGCCGAGGCGGGTGGATCACGAGGTCGAAAGATCGAGACCATCCTGGTCAACATGGTGAAACACCGTCTCTACTAAAAATACAAAAAACTAGCTGGGCGTGGTGGTGCATGCCTGTAATCCCAGCTACTTAGGAGGCTGAGGCAGGAGAACTGCCTGAGCCCAGGAGGCGGAGGTTGCGGTGAGCCGAGATCGCGCCATTGCACTCCAGCCTGGGTAACAAGAGGGAAACTCCGTCTCAAAAAAAAAAAAAAAAAAAAAAAAAACGTAACGTTTTAGAATCTATATAGCATGACTCCCCTCTCCCTCCTTTTTGCCCTTTCCAATTTCAAAATGTCACAATTACTAAAGGTTACATTTTTGGAAGGAACATGTGCTAGCCTCTGTGAGAAAACAGACTATTTTGGGGATCTGTGGTTGCTATGAGACCTATGTGTCCTTGGTTTCTATATTCATATACAGATCAGTGGGAAAATGATTTACATGTGTTGGCTATAAACTAGCGTCATGTCATGGATCTGGATATATATGTGCATGATTATAAAAATCAGGATCCCTGGCCTGATTTGGAGTTTGGAAAGAGTTTCTGCTACTGCAGTACACAGATACTGGAGTATCCTTTGAATGCTGAGGTGTGTCTGAGGCCAAGGGACAGAATATAGGAATATAGGAAAATTTAGGCCATGCAGTCATTATTCATGGGCCACTAGTTTTACTCACTAAAGGGCTGGGTTCCTAGCTGCATTGGAGACTATAGCACATCCATACATGTAGCATAGTTTCTCATTCAGTGACTTTCCCACACAGCCCAGCTCAGGGCTGCTGCTCTTACTTCTAAGTGCATTTAAAGTGGGGAGATTGACAAAGATGCAGGTTCTGGATCTTGTGACCAGAAATTCTGACTCCTTTGTTATGAAATGAAGTCTCATCTGCCTTTGTAAATAGCTCTGCCCATTGCCATGGTCCACACTTTGAGAAACTTTGTCCAGCCTATTACCACTCAGTTATGTGTTTCGAGCTATCTTTTATTACTAAGTGAAAATTGGGTGAGATTGTTGAAGAGAGACAATTGTCCCAGGTGTTTCCTGTGTTCTTAATCTGAAACTTGTGGACCTCATGGTCACACCCTGCCCTACAAGTCTTACCCTTTTATTCAGGATGTCTAATGGCATTACTTATTAATATTTGAAAGGTCTACCCCAGAGTAAGAAGGGTGGATTTTCTTTTTTAAGTGGAAGAAACCAAACTTCAACTCCTATAGCTCTCTCTGTCTGAATCTTGTAATAGACTACTGTTATAAGCAGAGCTCCAAGTCCTTTAATGGGGGAACCTCAACTGCCCTTGTCAGGAAAGAAGCGCCCAGGAACCTCCAGGCCTGAGAGGCTGGTATTTTGGTTCTCTCAATATGTGAATTATACTAGTGACCCCTATTTTCTCAGGGACAAGTGGGGAAGCCATTCTCCTCTTGAAGCAGATCTCTAGAGAACTATGAACAGATAATGAAGCTACGGAATTTTAGGATGTGCACTTGTCAATTCCCAGTTATTATCCAGGCATGTATATGTGTGTGTGTGTGTTTAAGTAATGGGACTCCTAGAACCACTGGCAAATCATCAGACCTCACATTCATCAATATTTACACTCTCTTCTATTAGATTTCTTTTAACAGAATAGCTTTTAAAAGTACCCACATCTGACATTTTGAATTTCACCTCCTGTCTCTTTTCCTTATGCCCCTGTCTCTTTTCCTTGGCTTTCTTCAGAAGTTGCAAGGGAGTGGTAAAAGAATTAAGTGAGCAGCAGCAGGAGGATGAAGCAAAGTTCTACCGGATTATAAATGGTCTGATCTATTCCCTGCCATCACCTGACCTCCCCCAAGCATGACTGGGATGTTGACCCTGGGAACCCCATCTCTACCACCTTGGGGGTTTAGAAGAATGTGTTGAGAGTGATACCTGCAAAGCAGCCGCTTCATGTGTCTGACTGCCCACTGCATCATCTCAATTGCCTCTGGAAAGGATTCTGGCAGCTCCTGGCCAAACTAGTTCTGTTGCTTTGCACAGGCTGAGCAAAAAGAAGGGAGATGTGTTACTGGGCACAGTGAGCTCCAGACATGCCAGACACTCGGGGACTGTTCTATAACACAGAACTCAGCCAAACATAGGACGGAATAAGGTTGGTGGGCTTTTTGGGCACTGGAAAGGCTACCAGGCCTTTGCTTGTTCACCTCTCACCTCATACCATGGCTATTTTATTTGCCACTGATCCTTGCTGGTGTTAATCAGGCCTGAGCCTACCAGTCTCCAGCTGCCAAATTCTGGCTCCCAGTGGTCACTGGCAATTGGACCTATCTGATCTTTCTTATGCCAGGTCTACTATTTATTATTGAATCCAAGACCAAGGGTCTTGAGCAAGAGGCGAGAGGACTTCTGAATTAGCCTGGGCTCTCTTGCTCTTAAATACTGACCTGATCATGAGTGAGGGAAGACAGCAATGTGAAGATGACCACCCTAAAGGCCATGTGGCTCTCTGACAGCCAGGTGCACAGCTAGTGCTTTTGATACTGAGCCAGTCTCCAGCCAATAGCCTGTCAAAAACCAGCTTGAAGGTAGGCTTTTCTGAGATTGAGCGTTCTAAGTGACCCAATGCCCACAGAAGGAGAGAGTCTCTGGCCCAAAACCACTCCAGTTTGGTTTTGGAGGACCAAAAAGGAGGTGATTACTTTTATGCTCCTAGGGGCCTGGATGGATCTCAGCTGATTGATTACCAAGCAATCTACATTACTTGGACACAATCAGAAGCTGCTCCATGCCAGAGCCACTTCCATTTTTACTTCCCTCTCTCCCTTCCCTATGGACAGCAAGGGGAAGACATATCTCAGGTTGCAAAGTGGCAGGTAAAGGGCTAGCATGGCTATGTTATAGCTTCTTGGTCTCTCTTTGGGACCAGGAGAACTTCTGGCACCTACAATGTTTCTAGCACCAGGTGCTTGGTGATTTGGATCACCCCTGAACTCTATCTGAGCATGAGAGGCAGGGTGGCATGAGGGAAAGATCGCTGGGAAGGGAGACTACTTTTTCCAGCTCCGCAACTAACTTGTTGAGTCAAATCAGTTTCGATTTAACAAAGCTGATTTCTTTCCTGCAGGAATTCCAAAAGCCTTTGACGTATATTATATACAGTGCATCTCCAAAAAAGAAATACAAACTGATTCTTAAACACATTTGACCATGGGGCCATTTTGAAACTGAGTAACTTACCAACATCTTGCTGTACAGAGTTTGTGAAATGCCACACTAGAAGTGACTATCATTACACTTTGGATTCTATGGCATTGATCTGTTGATTCTCTCTGGTTCCCAGTAGAGCTGTAAAAAGGAAATGGCATCCCTAGTGGGAGGCCAGAGAGACCAAACAGTGGTGTAACAGAATGGGTACAGAAGCCCTAACCTAACCCTTTTCTTGGGAAGTCCAGGGCCTCCTTCTCTTCTATGAACTAGTTGTTATTCCTACAAGAACTTGTGATCTGCTCTTGGCTGTCCAAATAAGAATAATACTCTGGGTATGAGTGGCATTACAAGGGTCCCTCTGTTTCTTTTGTGTTCCGAAAGACCCCAGTTGTCACACAGGGTCTGGTTTCTTTTTTGGCCTCAGGACCCCACTAGTGGCTGGATGTGATGGGGGCCTTTGCCTGCCTGGTCTAAGGGCAGGTCTTGAGCGTGGATGGAACTAGCATGGGCAGGTGGTGAGTTCCCCTGGCTGGGATTTTCTCTTTTTGTTTGCAAAACACTGTTAAAAGATTATTGCCTCCTATATTGCTGAGGTTCAACTACAGTGTCCGCATTTGATGGAGGTGGGGCAAGGCCTAGAGGGGGCCTTTGCCCAGAGGTGAGCAAAATGCTAATAAGAAATGTGAAAACTAGCCATTCGCAGACATCTCACTTGGTTATCTGGCAGGGAAGCAGGCATGTGGGTAGGCAGAGGGATGTGATACCCATCTCTCAGGCCTGTTTTGAGAAACCTGGAGGCTCTCAAAGGCCCACCTCTCAGTCAGACAATGCTGGAATGTCACTGTAAAGGAAAATGGGAAAACATATAGATAATCAGATCCTGGGTCAAAGGCATTTAGAAAGTATGTTCTCAGGCCCTCCATTCTGTTCCCATCAGGAACCAAGGCTGAGAAGGAAGATGAGGCAGGAGGGGGACGAGTGTAGCAGAGCACTCTTCCCGTCCCAGCCTGGATGGCGTTAGTCAGAGAACAGGCTGGCGAAAGACTTCCTCAGGTTGCGGATGGTTTCGGCCTTGGCTTCATCTTCACTGGGGTTCCCACGCTGGGAGGTGTCGGATGTGCTGAGGCTGTTAGTCAGGGACTGAGATTTGCTGAAACAGAAAGTCAGGGGGGTTGGGGAAGACAAGGTGAAGACTATCAAAGAAATGGGTCCTGGGGGCTTGCCTGTAAGCCAGATGGGCAACCCCATCACCATAAGGACGTTAAGACTGGAAACCAGGCATTCCAATGCTTACACAACGTTAGGTACATCACATACACAGTTTAATCTGCAAGGTGGTTGTTTTCCTCATTTTTTAGGTTCAGAAATTGGGGTTCACAGAGTCAAGTAACTTGCTCAGGTCCTCACAGCAAGTAATGGGGGAAGCACCCAGAGCTCGCATTCTTTCCATTACACCAGGCTCTTTAGGCAGCAGGCACTGTTGGAGAGTAGCTTGGCTGCTCTCCTGCCTATGGATACAAACCCACTTTGTAAACTGCAATGTGCTGTATCAGCATCAGGTTATAGTTATTTCCAGCATTTGTTTAGGTATCAGGAGGCCTGTATTCTAGAACCTACTCTGCTCGTTGATGTCTGTGGCCTTGGGCAAGGAACTTACCTTCTCAGGGCTTCCTTTACCTCACCTGTAGAGTGCAGGCTATGTCCTGCTGACCCTCAGGCTTCTTCCAGCTCTGACATTCAGGGCTTCAATTCCCACCTCTTCTCCAACACCTTTATGGCCAATCTGTCCCCTACCCCCTTTTGGAATTCTTTTTTAGTGCCAACTTTTTGAATGGCAGGTGCCATTCTGAGTGCTTCCCAAATGGTAGCCTGTAGCAACTGCTTGCTGAACACTTCCCCCGTGCTAGGGGACAGGGGTATAAAGATGAATATGCTTCAGGCCCTGCCTCCGGAGGCTCACAGTCATAGGAGGGGAGGCAACAGACATAGGAAGAGATGATGTAAATATGTCAAAAGTTCAAGAGCTCTGCATGGGATGCTGTCATCACATTAAAAACTTGGGACTTTAAAGCAGGGACTGTCTTTTATTCCTTGCTTATTGCCCCTCAGAGAGTCTTATCTAGAACAAGGCACAGAGTAGGTATTCGGTAAATACCTGCTGACTTGACTTGAACCAAATTCTTTAAAGCAGTAAGTCAGGAAATTTACATGTTTTTAGCTCGAATACTGTAAGGTCAATGACCAAACCTGGTTGAAGGCTCAGAGCCCTTGTCTCTCCAGTGATTAGCTGGGCTGATCTCCTTATGTGGTGACAGGCTGTACGCAGATAAGTCTGTAGTGCCAGCAGCATTCTAAGCACGAACTGTGCATAAATTTGTTGCAATACCTATAATAACCCTGTGAGGCTGTTGTTCCCATTCTGCATGTGAGGAAATTGAAGCACAGCAAGGTTAGGCAACTTAGCTGAGGTCGTGTAGTTTTCAAGACCCAGGCATTCTGACTCTAGAGTCTGTGTGTCAGCTCCTATTTCATATTACCAGGAGGGCCATTTGCTAGCATTTGTCAAACTAAAAAATACATTTATCCTTTGATCTAACAATACCATGTCAGGTTATTTTCTCTAGAGTGAGTCTTGCAACTATGAAATATGTTCAGATTTATTAACTGTAGCATTATTTGTAAGATGAAACCAAGTTTCTATTTGTGGTGGATTATTTAGATAAATTATAGTACAACTGTACAGTGGAATGCTATATAGCCATAAAAAATAAAATTCCAATTAACTGGGTGCTCCAGGATTTATTATTAAACATGAAAAGCGGGGAGCAGAATGGTGTGGATAGTGAATACTCCTGTGTATGTAAGAAAATGAGGGAGAGGATTCGAACATGTTTAAAATTATTCATGCAAATATTTTATTTGCATAAATAATTATGCAAACCATGCAAAATTATGCAAAAATAATTGTGCAAATATTTTCATTTGCGTAAGGAAGCACTGAAAGGACACATAGGAACCAACAAAAGTCATTTCTGGGGACAAGGTGCAGTGAAGCATTGGATGAGAATGGGGTGGGAATGAGGCTTTTCAACATAAATCTTTGATATCTTTCTTTCTTTCTTTCTTTCTTTTATTGAGACAGAGTCTCACTGTTGCCCAGGCTGGAGTGCAGTGGCGCAATCTCAGCTCACTGCAACCTCTGCCTCCCAGATTCAAGCTATTCTGCCTTAGCCTCTTGAGTCGCTGGGACTACATGTGTGCACCAACACACCCATATAATTTTTGTATTTTTTAGTAGAGATGGGGTTTCACCATGTTGGCCAGACTGGTCTCAAACTCCTGACCTCAGGTGATCCACCCACCCTGGCCTCCCAAAATGTTGGGATTACAGGCGAGAGCCACCATACCTGGCCTGATATTTTTTTTAGATCTTTGAACCATGTGAAGATATTACCTAATCAAAAAAATTGTTGTTAGCATGATCCCTAGACTGGATATCCTGGGTTCAATCCCAGCTCTTTTAGTTATTAACTGGAAACTTGGGCAAGTTATTTAATCTTTCTTTTCTTACTCATCTGTACAGTGGGGATAATAAATAGTTATTAACTCCTAAGCTTGTGAGAACTTAAAAAAAAACAAGTAGGTAAAGTGCTTGGCACATAGTAAGTAGACAACAGCTGTTAGCAGTGAACTGTGATGATCAACATTTGGCCTTGAAGGAAGGTAGAGCTTTCTAAAGAACAGTTACTTGGGACCTCTCTTTACAACCTCAAACCAAGAGATGGGCCTGAGAGGAAACAGGATGTATGTGTGTATTGTGATGGATGGCTTACAAAAATGACTGCAGTGATTCCTCTTGTCCCTGTAGCCTGCCCTTTTGAGATGTGACTTCCCGACTCCTCCCACCGAGTTTATTTCCTACCTCTTGAATGTGGGTTTGGCCCTGTGATTTGCTTTGACTAAAAGCATGTGATAGAATAACACTTTATAAGCCCCAAGGCTGGGCCTCAAGAGGCCTTGCAACTTGTACTTTTTCCCTTTTTAAAAGCAGTTCTACCATGTGAGAAAGCTCGGCTTAGCCTTGGAGAGGATGAGACCCCATGGAGAGAGAGGCCTGGCTGACAGCTAGCACCAACAACCAAAAGTGGGCGGGGGGCCTTCTTGGACCATCCAGCCTCAGTGAAGCTGCTGGATGACTGCAGTTGTATGAGTGACCCCAGGAAAGTAGGGTTGCCAGGTTTAGTGAATAAAAATGTGCAGATCAATTTGCATTTCAGATGAAAAGCTAAGACCTTTTTTTAGTGTAAGTATATTCCATGATGTTTGGGGCACACTTATACTCACAATTATCTGTTTTTTTTTTTTTTTTAAATCTGAAATATAAATCTAACTGGGTATCCTGTAACTCTATAGGAGTCACTAGCACAAGAACCTCCCAGCTAAGCTAAACTCAGAATAAGCAGCTGAACCAAAACACTATGAACAAAGAAAATGGTTATTTTCTTCAGCCACAGAGTTTTGGGGTGGTTTGTTTTGCAGCAAAAGGTAACTGATATGTGTTACATGGAGGGTCATGGTGGTGCCTAATCTATACTCTCACCTTGCTAGGCCTCCCCCCAAAATTCCATCCTCTAGTTCTCTTTTTACCTATTTAAATTCTAGGCAAGGCCTCGTTGGGTCCTCCTTTGTCTCCAAGTCCCTAACCCTGAATCAGTCAAGCTCTGCCTACACCCTAGCGCTATCCTATACCTTTTCCAATTCTCAGAGCACTTACTTGAGATGTGGATGAGGTGGTGCTGGCTTCTTGGACTCTTCACCCTGCTGGGAGGTGCTGCGGCCCTGCACAGGGGGCCGGGGCTGTGAGGTGAGGGTGGCACCTGGCTTGGAGGCCTGATTTGGGGAGCTGCCACTGGATGCCCGGGAGAGCTGCGGAGAGCCTGGTGACCTTTGCTGCTGTGGAGATCCCGACTGGGGGCTCAGGGGCTGCTGGCCTTGTGGGGAGAGCCTCTGTTGGGAGGGGCTTCCAGATCTCTGGGGCTGAGGAGACTGAGCTTGGCGAGGGCCTCCTAAAGGGCCAGAAGATAAAAGGTTCAGTTCAATTTTTTTCTTATGATAAATACGGCTGTACACAAATAATGTTGCTTCAAGGATGTTGATTGCAGTGTTTCTTATAACAGTGAAAAATTGAAAACCATATAAATGCCTAACCATAAGGAAGTAATTAGGAACATTAAGATACATCTGTATAATGGAATATGCTGTGGTCATCACATAGGATGTGGCTGAGTAATATTACATGACATAGAATACTGTTGATAACATATGCTAAATATACTACTGAACAAAGTAGCTTAGAATACAGTACATACGGTTTTATTTTGGCACATGTATAAACATATATAAAAAAAGAAAGACTGGAAGATTGTACTCTAAAACTAGTGTGTCTCAGACTTTAATGTGCATATGAATCACTGGGCATCTGGTCAAAATAAAGATTCTGTTAGAGTGGGTCTTGGGCTGTGTTACGAAATGAATTGTGTTCGCCCTGTCCCAATTCATATGTTGAAAGCTTAACCCTCACCTTCAATGCAATTCTGTTTGGAGATAGGATCTTTAAAGAGGTAATCGAAGTTAAATGAGGTGATAGGGTGGGACCCTAATCTGATAGGTCTGGTGTCCTTATTAAGAGGAGAAAGAAACATCAAGAGTGTCACGTACCCGGGCACAGAGAAAAGGACATGCGAGGATACACAAAGAAGGCTGCCATCTGCAAGCCAAGGAGAGAAGCTGTACCCAAAACCAACCCTGCCAGAACCTTGATCTTGAACCTGCTGCCTCCAGAGAACTTTGAAAAAATGTCTGTGGTTTAAGGCCCCCCAGTCTATGGCATTTTGTTATTGAGGCAGCCTGAAAAGATGAACATAGGTAGGGTCTGCGATGCTACATTTCTGATGGGTTCCCAGCTCATCCTACTTTGAGTAATGAGGCACTAAATAATAATTACAAAAGGGGTGCGATTATGAAGGATTTTAATTCTCTTTTTTTTCTCGCTGATATCTTCCACACTGAAGATGCGTTTCTTTGGAAACAATGAAAACAATTAACTCTTACTTTTTGGGTTGCTCTCTAAACTTTTCCAAGAACTTTAAAAAGCAGCGTATCATCTGATCTAGAGAGGCCAGTAGGGAAGATACCATTCTTCTCATCACATAGTGGTGAAGACTGAGTCTTATAAGGTTTTCCAACTGGAAGAGTAGCCACAGAAAGCTCAAAGAGAATCTTGGTTTCTCCCTGTCACCACACAGGGCACACGGGCTTTCTCATGCAAGCCAAGGGGCATCTAAGCTTGGGGATGTTGTATCCACCTAGAAATGACTTTGAGTAGAATTTCAAGGCCCAAAACCATCAAGGTACACCCTCCTTGTCCTGAAATTCTGGGTGTCAGCACTGTTGATGGTGAATTGCATTTTGCCAAAGCTGACTGGCTGCCCGCTGGTCTCTCCTCCCTAGGACCTGCTGCGGCTAGGGGAGTGGGCTTGTGCTGGGGTTATTCTTGCTACATTTTATTTTTTTTTTTGAGAGCACTTTAGGCAGGTTAGGAGACCGAGAATTAAAAGGTGCTGGAACCCATTTCTGTGACTTTTAACAATGGGGCTCCTGCTGAGCATCTGTTATGTCGCTAGCTTTGGACTGGGCATCCCCACAACAGCTCTGTGGGTTAGGCATGATTTTCATCCCCTACTCCCGGCCATGGGAGTGCTGCCTCTGGAACTCTACAGAGAGCCATGTGTAATTATAAATTTTCTAATGGGCACATTTTAAAAAGTAAAAAGAAATAGTTAAGCTTAATTTTAATGTGTGTGTGTGTGTGTGTGTGTGTGTGTGTGTGTGTGTGTGTGTATGTATGTATTTATATGTGTAATGTTTTTTTAAACAGATGGGGTCTCTGTCACCCAGGATGGAGTGCAGTGGCGTGGTCACACTGCACCCTTGAACCCCAGGGCTGAAGCCATCCACCTGCCTCAGTCTCCTGAGTAGCTGGGACTACAGGCCCACCACAACTTTTTCATTTTTTTTGTAGAGTTGGGATGTCGCTATGTTGCCCAGGCTGGTCTTGAACTCCTGGTCTCAAGCACTTCTCCCACCTTGGCCTCCCAAAGTGCTGGGATTACAGGTGTGAGCTACTGTGCTTGGCCCCCATTTTTACAAAGGAACTGAGACCCAGCTATACTGTGACTTGCTTAAGATGTCACTACGAATAAGGAGACAAGCCCAGATTCAAACCTAGATCTCTTTGACTCAAAAGCCCTGTTTTGTTTCTTTTTTCCTTTTTAAAAACTATAGCACACAGGGCTGCCCTGAGTCCTCATAACATCTGTATTGCTAATTAAGAAAAGGTGGCTTCCTTCAGCAGAAGCAGCTCAGAGCCAGATGCCCAGGGAGCAAGGACTAGATTTCAGCCAGCTTCCCTATCACATGTCATGTCAGCTGAGTACATTTTCAGAGGACATGCCATCTGTATAACCTCCATGACCTGTGGAGCCTTGTGGCCCTGACTCCCCATTGGCACAAGGAGCCTCAGGTCCTGACTCAAAGCCTTGCCATTAACTCACTGTGTGACCGTGGGTAAGTCACTCCCCTTCTCTGGGCTTTGGGGCCCTCGTTTGTAAAATCAGGTCATTGGACTGTACATCAAACATCCTTCCCAATCTGAACGTTTTCGTAAGCTTGTGGAACACGAAACTGGATTACACTGCGGCAGCAGTTTAGCAGCTGATTGTGTTACACAGCTTTCATTCATTAGCTCTTTCATGACTGTGTCATCCCAGTAGATGGGAGGTCACATTTACTTCAAACTCAAACACCTCTAGGGCCAGCCAGGTATGTAAATAAATAAAGCAGGCAAATATAAGAAAAGTAATGTGGCTTTCAAAAATTTTCCCACTTGAGATAAAAACATAGTCCAGAGAACTTTTCTCTAAAGAGGCGCAAGCACAAAGAACATAGCAATTGCTACTCCCTGTCACTATGGGAGTGAGGAGTAGGGCTGGAGGCAAATGCAGGAGCCCCTAGGAGTCCTTGCTCTGCCCAAGGGAGATGCTGTTAGTAACGCCAGGGACAGCTGCTGTACAGAAACACAGGCCCATTGTTTCTAGAGCTTCTGTGCTGTCAAGAGGTGCTGGAAGTCTAGATGTTTAAGTAACACCTCCTGATTTATTTTATTTTATTTTATTTCTTGGAGACAGAGTTTTACACTGTCGCCTGGGCTGGAGTACAGTGGCATGATCTCGGCTCACTGCAACCTCCACCTCCCGGGTTCAGGAGATTCTCCTGCCTCAGCCTCCTGAGTAGCTGAGATTACAGGTGCCTGCTACCACACCCAGCTACATTTTAGTAGAAACAGGGTTTCACCATGGTGGCCAGACTGGTCTCGAATTCCTGACCTTGTGATTTGCCTGCCTCGGCTTCCCAAAGTGCTGGGATTACAGGTGTGAGCCACTGCGCCCAGCCCACCTCCTGATTTTTAAAAGTTGGTTACTTTTGGGTTTTCTAAACCTACTGCAGTTCAAAGAAAACATTTGTTTTCTACTTTTATCTTCAGTTTTCCCTGACTCACTCCCCTTCCCAGGTTGATATCTTAGAAAATCTGGATGCCCATTCATTAATTCATGAACTCTTTGTTGAGTTCCTACAATACACCTGGGATTTATCAAGAGACACCGTAGTTATTGGATTCAGAGTCCAAAGTGCTAACCATTACACCATGGAACCGCCACCCTAGTTATTTCTTGCAGCTTCTTGGCAAAGCAAACAATTTAGTATTTTTTATTTGAGCACATACAAAAAAATAATAACTTATATATAGAAAGTATTTGCCTAAGCACAGAAATAGTGCCAATAACAAAGCTTATTAAAAGAAAATTTCACTTTTACCGACTTGAAATGAACAGCGAGTTCAAATAATAATGTGATCTTGTTAATTGGGGAACTCAATGAAAGCGTTGTTTTTTAATTAGCCTTGTTATTTTTAATCTGAGTGTTAATTCACTGGGCTTTTTCTTTAATTACCTTAATTGGTTTTAAATTGATTGTTTTTCAACTGACTAAAAGTGTGTTTAGCCTCATTTCCCTTAAAATAATATCTCTTTATCAAGCATGGTTTACTCTGGGCCAGAGAGGAAATTAGAGTACAGTAGCTCTCTGTTTTAAAAGGGCTCTGTTCAAATGTGCTTTTAAAAAGTAGGTCCCAGGGCAGAGGAGAGAGGAGGGTGTGGGGCAGAGGCACAGCCAGGAGCCTGGTAGAGTGAGGAAAATGTAGTTTTGGAACACTTATTACTATAGAATTGTTGCTGGGCATGGGGGCACTGCATTACTTATAAGGACTGACGAGTTGATGGGTGCAGCAAACCACTATTGCACATGTATACCTATGTAACAAACCTGCACGTTCTGCACATGTATTCCAGGACTTGAAGTATAATAATAATAAACTATGAAAAGCAATATGTATCAGCCATATGTTATTAATAGTAAGCATGATGTCATAGTTATTAATAGTAAATTATTAGTAGTAAGAACTAACACCTTCTAAGCACTACCTCTGTGTCTGATACCTTGCTAATTGTTTCACCTGCATTTATCTCATTAACAAACACCCCATCTTTAAACATGGCAGCTGTTATTTCCTCCTTTACACTGAAGAAACTGAGGTCCAGAGCAGTAATGTGATTTGCCTAACACTGTAAAGGCAGTGAGACATGGAACCGGATTCAAACACACTAGATCTGCCTGAGGGAGAATACTGATGTGCATTTATATGGGCATACTTTGTTGTATTTCAATTTGCAGATGCCATGTCTTTTCAGAATTGGAGGGTTGTGGCAATCCTGCATTCACCAAGTTTGTCAATGCTGTTCTCCCAGCAGCATGTGCTCACTTTGTGTCTCCGCATCACATTTGGCAACTGTCACAAATTTCACACTTTAAAATTTTTATTTTATCTGTTATGGTGAACTGTAATCAGTGATCTTTGATACTATTGTGTTAATAATTGTTTTGGGGTGGCATGAACCACACCCATATAAGAGAGTGAACTGGCCGGCCACGGTGGCTAGCGCCTGTAATTTTAGCACTTTGGGAGGCCGAGGCAGGCAGATCATGAGGTCAGGAGATCCACACCATCCTGGCTAACACAGTGAAACCTCGTCTCTACTAAAAATACAAAAAACTATCTGGGTGTGGTGGCACACACCTGTAGTCCCAGCTACTTGGGAGGCTGAGGCAGGAGAATCACTTGAACCCAGGAGGCAGAGGTTGCGGTGAGCTGAGATCACGTCATGCCACTGCACTTCAGCCTAGGGGACAGAGCAAGACTCCATCTCAAAAAAAAAAAAAGACACAGTGAACTTACTTGATAAATGTGTGTGTTCTGGCAGCTCCATTTGCCAGCCATTTAGCCATTTCCCTGTCTCTCTTCCTCTCCTTGGGCCTCCCTTTCCCCTAGACACAATATTGAAATTGGACCAATTAATAACCCAACAGTGGCCTCTAAATATTCAAGTGAAAAAATTCAAGGAAGAGTCACATATCTCTTACTTTTAAAGAAAAAGCTAGAAATGATTAAGATTAGTGAGGAGGACATGTAGAAAGCCAAGACAAACTGTAAACTAGGCCTCTCGCACCAAAACGTTAGCTAAGTTGTCAATGTGAAGGAAAAATTCTTGAAGGAAATTAAAAGTGCTACTCCAGTGAACACACAAATGATGAGAAATCAAAACAGCCACATTGCTGATATGGAAAAAGTTTGAGTGGTCTGGATAGATCACACCAGACACAACTTTGCCTTAAGCCAAAGCCTAATCCAGAGCAAGGCCCTAACTACTTTCAATTCTATGAAGGCTGAGACGTGAGAAAGCCATGAAGAAAGGTTGGAAGCTAGCAGATGTTGCTTCCTGAGGTCTAAGGAAAGCTGTCTCCATAACAAAAGCTGCAAGGTGAAGCTGCAAGTGCTGATGAAGAAGCTGCAGCAAGTTATCAGGAAATTCTAGTTTAGATAGTTGAAGAAGGTGACTGTGCTAAACAACAGATTTTCAGTATAGATGGAACAGTCTTCTATTGGAAGAAGATACTATTTAGGGCTTTCAAAGCTAGAGAGGAGAAGTCAATGCCTGGCTTCAAAGCTTCAAAGGACAGGCTGACTCACTTATTGGGGCTAGTGCAGCTGGTCACTTTAAGTTGAAGCCAGTGCTCACTGACCATTCTGAAAATCCTAGGGCCCTTAAGAATGATGCTAAATCCACTACACACTGGGGTCCATTGGTGGGAAATGGGGGAGGGATGGCGGGGTGGGGAGGTGAGGAGAGATAGCATGGGGAGAAATGACAGATATAGGTGAGGGGAAGGAAGGCAGCAAATCACACTGCCATGTGTGTACCTATGCAACAATGTTGCATGTTCTTCACATGTGCCCCAAAACCTAAAATGCAATTAAAAAAAAAGTATGTGTAAAAAAATAAAATTAAAAAAAAAAAAAAGAATGATGCTAAATCTATCCTGCCTGTGTTTTGTAAATGGAACGACAAGGCCTGGATAACAGCTATTTACAATATGTTTTACTGAATATTTTAAGCCCACTGTTGAGACCTACTGTTCAGAAAAAAGGTTCTTTTCAAAATATTACTGCTCATTGACAATGCATCTGCCCATGCAATAATTCTGATGGAGATTTACAAGATAATTTTGTTTTCGTGTCTTTTAATACAACATCTATTCTGCAGCTCATGGATGAAGGAATAATTTTGAATTTGCGGTGCTATTTTAAAAATACATTTCATAAAGCTATAGTTGTCATAGACAGTGATTCCTCTGATCGATCTTGGGAAAAGAAATTGAAAACCTTCTGTAAAGGATTTACCTTTCTAGATGCCATTAAGAATATTTGGGATTCATAGCAGGGAATAAAAATATCAACATAACAGGAGTTTAGAAGTTGATTCCCATCCTCATGGATGACTTTGAGGGGTTCAAGATTTCAGTGGAGGAAGTAAGTGAAGATGTGGTGGAAACAGCAAGAGAACTAAAATTAGAAGTGAAGTCTGAAGATGTTACTGAATTACTGCAGCCTCATGGTAAAACTTGGATGGGGCCAGGCACAATGGCTCTCACCTGTAATCCCTGCACTTTGGGAGGCCAAGGCTGGTGGATCACAAGGTAAGAGATCAAGACCATCTTGGCTAATACAGTGAAATCTCTACCAAAAATACAAAAAATTAACTGAGCATGGTGGTACGCACCTGTAGTCCCAACTACTCAGGAGGCTGAGGCAGGAGAATCACTTGAACCTGGGAGGCGGAGGTTGCAGTGAGCTGAGATGGCACCACTGCACTCCAGCCTGGGTGACAGAGCAAGACTCCATCTCAAAAACAAAAAAACAAAAAACAAAGCTTGACTGGATGAGGAGCTGCTTCTTATGGATAAGCAAATAAAGTGATTTCTTCCAATGTAATCTATTCCTGGTGAAGATGCTATGAAGACTGTTGAAAAGACTACAAAGGATTTAGAATAGTACATAAACTTAGCTGATAAAGCAGAAGCAGGTTTGAGAAGATTGACTCCAAGTTTGAAAGAAGTTCTACTATGGGTAAAATGCTATCAAACTGCATCAAGTGCTGCAGAGAAATCTTTTGTGAAAGGACGAGTCAATTCATGCAGCTGACTTCACTGCTGCCTTATTTTAAAACATTGCCTCAGCCACCCCTTGCTTCAACAACCAGTACCCTGGTCAGTAAGCAGCCATCAGCATTGAGGCAAGACCCTCCATGGGCAAAAGGATTACTCTTCACCTGGGGCTCAGACTATTGTTAGCAATAAAGCATTTTATAATTAAGGTATGTACTTTGTTTTTTCAGACATAATGCTATTGTAACACTTAAGAGACTACAGTATGGTGTAATCATAGCTTTTATATGCACCAAAACATTTGTGTGACTCACTTTATTGTGATATTTACTTTATACTGGGTGGTCTTGAACTGAACGTGCAATGTCTCTGAGGTATGTCTGTATTCAGTTGTGTACAATTATACAATTTCGCTTTTCTTAAAAATATCTTCTGTTTTCCAGAAAGAGAAACACACACAAGAAAGATGAATGAGGCATTTTATCTAAGACCTGTGCAAGAGGAAGCCATTTGGTGGCCAAGGTTGACTTTTTTTCAAGAAGTAATGAATCGGTTGCTTTTAATAACAGTGACCAGGAAGGCCATATGATAGTAATGACTTCTTTCTGATATGTTTTTAAGAAGATCCTTAAAAGATTTCAGTGAAACTGCCTGCTCTGGTTTCTTCATGCACAGGTGCTCTGAAGCTCCACGTTGGTGCTAGAGCGAGTGTGTCTGGGAGGTTTTGATTGTGAAAGGATACAGGGTGGATTTCTCTTAAGGCCTGCATGCAAGAACACTGGAGCAGCTGACATTCGTGGAGAAAGTTAGCCATTGCCATGATTGGTTTTCATCCTTTTATCAACAGTGTGTCCATTCTCTAATAAGTGGTTAGCACTTGTGTGGTATAGTAATGCTGGAATATAGTTGAGGAGGAATTTCGTGGCCAAGGTTTAGATGATGTTCCATTTTTCTTTCTTTCTTACTCTAGCTGGTTGACTCACAAATCTATCATCAGGCACCACTCATTGCTATGAATAAATACTTTCTAGAAGGTCTGAAAGGCCAGACTTGTGAATCTACCATTTTCTGCCTCCCTGGGCAAAGCCTCAACTTTTACCTCTCTGTAAAAAGGAAATACTTGGGAGGCCAAGGTGGGTGGATTACCTGAGGTCAGGAGTTCGAGACCAGTTTGGCTACCATTGTGAAAACCTGTCTCTACTCATAATACAAAAATTAGCCAGGTGTGGTGCTGTGCATCTGTAATCCCAGCTATTCAGGAGGCTGAGGCAGGAGAATCGCTTGAACCTGGGAGGTGGAGGTTGCAGTGAGCCAAGATCATACCACTGCACTCCAGCATGGGTGACAGAGTAAGACTCTGTCTCAAAAAAAAAAAAAAAAAAAAAAAAAAAAAAAAAAAAAAAAAGAAAAAGAAAAAAAAGAAAATACTGATGTTTTCACTGTATAATGGCTGGGAAAATAAAAGTGAGGAAATAGGTGGGACATTCCCTGGCACAGTGCTTGTTGCATAGTAGGTACTTAATAAATTAACCTTCTATTTCCCTTCTCCTTTCTTTACTTTTTAAAGAGGTAGACCAACCCCATAATCTCATTCATTCTGAGGATAAAGTATTCAGATGCAGTTTCCCAGAGCCCCTTGTGGGAATCACATGTGGATCTCTCAGTGCATTACAGTACCTCGTGGCCTGCTTTCTCTCAGTAGCTCATCCTGGGTCCTACCTTGTGGAGGTGGGCGTGGCTGGGGCTGTCCTAACTGAGGCCCCAGCTGGGCTTGCCCAGGAGATTTCACTGATTTAGTCTGTGGAGCCTAGAGTAGAAGAGAAAAGAAGCCTGTTGATATCACCACAGCCCTTTACTTCTTGGATGAGAAGGCAGCATTTATGAAGATCTTTTTAGTGTACAGTTCTGGGGTGGACAGTGTAGTGAAATTCTACATATGTATATATTGGTGTAACCACTGCCTGGATCAAGACATAGGCCATTCCCTGTGGTGAAGCCTGCCCCATGAGCCTTCCCAGCCCCATCAGTATAATAACTATGATTCTGATGTCTATTATCATAGGTCACTTTCTGTGGGGAAATCTGGGGTGGGAGGTGGAGGTTTGGGTACTCGCTTTTACATAAAGCTGGGGAGCTGGCAAATTCTTTGGAGAGCAGTCTGGTAGTCCCTGCTGGGAACTGTGGAGGGGAGGAGAGGAGTGATGTGGGAGCTCATCGAGGTTGGGGAAATGGGAGACACAATGGTGTCCATTGACTGGTTCCCTGGGAGCACACAGAGGGCCTGTGTGTCCATATGGTCTCAGACATGCACGCACACACATCCTGCTCAGGCCCGGCACCGAGGGCATGGAAGGGACAGCAGTCAATCATCTCTGCCCACAGATGCCCAAAGGCCACCTGAGACAAGACTGTTCTCCCCAGGATGGTGAGCAAGGGAAGGGGCCCCAAAAAGCCTCCTAAATTCTCCTACTGGGGCAGGCTCTGGAAGCTCTCCCCCATGTCTGGCCTTCCCCATTCCTTCTCCCCAAGGTAGGTTCTTCCTGCAGTATCTCTTTTGGATCCAGGGGATCCCCTTTTCCAGAGAGCCTGGCATTTCTCATGGCTACAGAGTCTCCTTCGATCCTGAGGGTCTTACCCAAGGTCTCAGGGGCGAGGGCGCTGTGCCTCCTGGCATCAGGAGTTGGCTCATTTTGGAGACAACAAGGTCGGCCATCAGCTGTTTGTCCTCTTCCACGTGCTCTCCAATCAGCGGCATTGAGCTGTCCATTACCTGTGGGGAAGAAGGGAGAGCTGAGGGACCCCCATGCCAGGAGAGGCTGGCGATTGGGCATCACATCCCCGAAGTGAGGGCTCTGGGCTCAGGACAGAAGTGACCACCAGATGGCAATGTCCTCCATGCAAACCACCTCCAGCTGACACTGGGCCCGCAGAGACATCAGTTCCCTTCTGTTCAGTCTAAACCACTCGCTGGATGCAGTTCAATTCGGCCCACGTTTGCTGGATGACAGCCGTGCGACCAGGACCAGGGAGCCTCTGCTGACCTTTTCTGCACTCTTCTTCGGGGAGCTGCTCTCCGCCCCCTCCTTTCTCACCCTGGCCCCCTCCCAGGGTAGGGGCTGGCTGCCTCTCCTTTGGCCCCAGGTCAAGCGTTTCTGTAGAGCAGAAACAGTAAAGATGGGGGCTCGATCATGACAAAAATGTGACACAGGCTGGAGTTGACCCAGGATTCAGAGGGAAGAGGGAAGAGGAAAGGCCCCGTTCTCCAGGGCCCTGGCAAAACACAGGCAGGAGGGAAACGCATTCCATAGGGAGCTGGGCTGGTCTCAAAGGAAGTGAGGTGATTGTATGGGCGGGGTGTAAGGGATCCTATTTCTCCTGCTCTTTTTACAGATAGAGCAACTGAGGCCCAGAGATGGGAGGGGACTTGCCCATGGTCACACAGGCCAATGCTCCACGTGATTCTCTGGACAGGGAAGCTATGGGAGGTCTTGAAGGGATGTCTGTTGGACCTTGGTGGATCTGCAAAACAGCTGGCCTTGCCACCCACCTTCTGTGCTCCACTGTAGGAGTGGCGACCTGCGTTCACCCACATCACCCCCATCAGACTCACTGTCTTGTCTTCCCTGTTCCCACACTCTGAACTCATTAGGTTTTCTCTCTCCTCCAGGTTCTTATGTATTCCCTCTACCCACTCTTTACCTGGCCAACTCCTTTTCATCCAGCAGGGAACGGTTAACTAGGTCTTCCTCCAGGAAGCCCTCTCTGACTGTGCAAGCTCTATGAGCCACCTCACATCTGTAGCCTGTCAGTCTTACTTGGTTTCACACTGGACAGCTTATCCACAGCACTGTCACCCCCTGCTTACTATGTCTCCACAACCAGACTGTGAGCCCCCAAGGTCAGGGATGGGCCCTGTGTCCTGATAAACAGGTGTGCCCTCAGTAGATACCTGTGTAGTGGAGGAATAAGAGGCCCTTGCAATAAGCCTTGCTCATAAGGATAAGGATACTAAGAAGTGCTGTATTTTATGGGGGACCTCCTATGTGCTATGCACTATTCTAAGCATCAGGTATGGAGGATCTCTAATAAACCTCAGAACAGCTCTTTGAGGCAGGTACTATTATCCTCATTGTAATGATGAGGAAGCAAAGGGTCAAAGAAGTGGCAAGGTCAAGGACACAGCATCCAGAACCCATGTTCCTCCCACTGCCTCAGGCTAATTCCCACTAACCATTGGAGCAGTACACCAGGGTAAGAACTGGGAAGAGGGAACCTGGGTTCCAGGCTTGGCTTCTGCGGTAGACTTGCAGAAGTCTGCGTGTCGTCTTGAGCAAGTTTCTTTTCCTCTACAGGCCTATTTTTTTTTTTTTTTTTTTTTTTCTCAACAGTGAACTGAGGGGTTTGGGCAGCTGCTAAGACTCTTCCAGCTGGGACTTGCAGGGATCTGTGAGTTTGAGCACCCACTTTGACTAGGAAACTGAAAGCCTAGCTTAAGAAAGTGAATACTACTTCTAGAAGAGTCCTGAGCTCTGTGCAGGTGGTACCTGGGACTGGGGACTCTGGGATCCCAGCGCCCCCAACAGCGCCCCCAGCTCTCAGTCACCACTGGCTGAGCTCTGACTGTGGGGTCTGCCCCGAAGGTACACAGGCTTCCTGCAGACTCTCTCCCCATGCCCTGCCCACCCCATTTTGCTCCAGTCTGTTTCCTACATTCCCTGCAGTGGAAAACAGCCACAAGGAAGCTGAGGTTCGTTTTGGAATCCCGAGGGTAGACATGGCCAAAGGAAGTGGCTGTGCTGGTCTCCCCAGGGAAACATTTTCCAGCGAGCCAAGTCATTCCCTGGACAGGTCAGAGAGGACAAGTTCAAGGGTCTTTCCCCATGAGTATTTCACTGTGAGGCTCTTCACAAAACATTTCACACACATTTTCTGTTCTCACCACAGAGGTGGCTGAAAAAATCAGTGTCTTGGGACCTCTTCTGCCTTTTTTTCCCCTAACTGGGGGAAAATACCTTTTATATTTCTGGTAACAAGCTTCCCATCTCCCTGACCCCACTCCAAACTCAAAAGCAAAGGAAACAGCTCTGCAATGTTTCTGTGGGGGAAAAAAAATCTGAAAAGTTGTCTTTCATTTTTCCTCTGGAACATTTTTGGGAGATGTTGTTTTCTTGTTTTTTGAAGCCCAAGCCCACTACTTTTACTTTTTTTTTTTTTTTTAAATGTGAAAGGTCTTTCATCCCCAACCCTCTGAATGGCTAAAGGCAGGAAGCCTGGGCCCATGAGCACAGATTTTTTGTTTTTTTCCTAAGAGTGAAAGCTGAGACTTGGAGAGGCAGGAACTCAAAGGGGACAGAGAGAGTGCTGGTGCAAGGGAGGAGCTGGCTTTGGGGGGTCAAGGGAGTCCAGGAGCTCCAGGAGACAGGCCCCTGCTCCTGTGTTTGCCATTGTACTGTGTTCACCGGCTTGGGGGCTGGCTCCCAGAGCAGCAGCTCAGTGAATCAATGAATGAGTGCTTGTGTGCCAAATCTGGGTTCATGTCTGGTGGTCCTCGTGAGGGGATACAGAGGAAGGAGGGCTGGGTGGGGTCTTGGGAGCTGCTGTGCTGGTGGTTCTGGCCCCACTTCTGGTCTGAAGCTCCCAGGGTATCCCCAGGAAGGTGGGGACTGGCTCCTCCAGGGAGCAACTGTACAGGTCAAGGAATCTGTTCCCAGCCCCTTCCATGGCTCTTCCGAGAAGGGGCTACTGGGAGAGTTTCAGGTGTGGCAGCCGGAGGGAAGGCCATTCCGGGCCTTGAGAAGAGAGCTGTTCTCCAGAGTGGGACTGGGTCTACTAACACAGATGCAGCTCTTCCTACAGGAGCCTCCTGGCCTCTCTGGGGAGGAGACAGAGCTGTGTTCATCCTTGACTCCCTCCTCCTACCTCCAAGGCTTGGGCATGAATACCCTTCTGGCATGGCTGGGCTCCCACCCACTGAGTCACCTGGTCCTGCTCAGCCGTGGGCCCCTGGGGAGTGAGGCAGACATGAGGGACGAGAGGACCGGCTGGCTCCTGTGGTTACCCCAGCCATGTGCTTCCCATTAGCTGCCCACACCCCGGGGAGGGGACAGCCACAGTGCTCTCCCTCACGTGTCCTGGTCTTGCGTTAGCACCGCCCATGGGAGGAGAGGGCTGAGAGTGGAGCTGGGGCTGAGAGTGTGGACATGGGAAGTTATAGAGGAGGGAGAGGCCAGAGGGGCCTTTTTAGGGGAAAGCAGTGGAGGTGGAGAGCCATGGGGTGTGGGGTAGGGGGCAGGGAAGAGGGGCTGGGGAGGGGACGGGATGGTTGTGGGATCCTGAGAGACACCAGGAGGACATGGAGGAGAGGTGGGGGCTGGTGGGATTCGGGGAAGCATGGAGAGGAAGCGGCGGAGGTGGGAGGCTGGAGGATTGGGAGGGTCTTGAGAGACTCCAGGACCCACAGCCCCTCTGTGAGCCCTCTCTTACCATTCTGTTTCCCTACATCTTTCCCTCTATTCATGCCCCTGCACCACTCCATCCTTCTTCCAAACCTTCAATACTTGGCCACTGTTTTTCACCCTCTTCCCTGCCAGCCCGCGCACCCCATGTCTATTATGTCCATGCTGCATCCCCAGAGCCACACCCATGCCTAGCCCATGGGAGACCCCTAAAGCCATGTTTGTTGAATGAACAAATGATAGGCTCTTTGTATGGCGACCAAGGATGGGTGCCCATTTTACATGCTTGGACACTGAGGAAATGGAAGGGGCCTCGTGGGACAGAATCTTGCTGACACTTGGGCAGATGCTCTTTCCCTTCCCTTAGGCCTGGGAGTTGGGGAAGTTGTTAAACCTCATGCCCAGAGGTCTCCTGGCTCAGTTTTGAGTCATGGCATGAAGGCTTTCGATGCCTCTCAGGGTGGGAAGGAGCCTCCAGAAGCAGCTCACTGAGACCTGGGCTGCATGTGCCCTGGAGCCAGGACACAGCTGATGGTGCCAAAGACCACGCAGGGATTCCCTCCTGCTGGCATGCCTGCCAGGCTGGACCAGCCAGGAGGACTGCCTGCTTCATCCCTCACCTCTATGATGTAATCTCTGCCATCCTTGCTGTGGACGGCCTTGACAGCACAGATATCCAGGCCGCCAAACATCTCCGAGCAGCTGTCCACCCACAGCCTGTACCTGCAGGGACAGATGGACAGAGAGTAAAGTGGCCTGGGAAAGTGGGGAAGCGGGGTAGAGGGAGAGAAGTGAATTCACACAGAAAAACAGGTAGGGAGAGACAGTGACACACACATCCAGACAGAGACAGAGAGAGGCAGAGAAGCAGCAAGAGAGACAGAAAGATGGAGAGAGAGTTCGAGTCCAAGACTCAGAGACAGAGAGGGAGGGAGAGAGGCAGGGACACAGACAACAGTGAGAGAGAAACCCAGAGAAAGAATAAGAGAGAGCCAAGAAGGAGGGAAGAGAGGCAGGGTGAGGGAGAGAAGGAACCAGAGTTGGGAGAGATCTCCCCCAACCCCAAGACTTGCTGGATGTACAGTAATGGGGAGCTTGCCCTGCCCCCATCCAGAGCCATCCCAGACACCCAGCCACCTGTGTCCCTTTTCCCTTGGGAAAGCTGCTCTAAGGGCTCCAGAAATCCCTCCCAGGCTGCCCTTCCAGTCCCAGCCCTGGCTGGACCGGAGGCTGTGGGGAACAAAGGGTGCATTTTCCCCTGGCCTGGGGCGGGTAGGCTGGGGAGCCTGGCAGGCTGCTTCTGCCTGGCCCTCTAGACCCACTGCTTTTGTTCCCTTTCCAGCCACTTGATGTCTGCAAGGCCAGTTTGCTTTGCTGGGGACAGATCTCAGCACTGGACTTTGACCCCGCAACAAGGGAGTGGTTGTATCTGAAGAAACCGTCCCAGCTTGCACTTAGCTTCCCTTGTGGGCTGGATTTGGGAGTCACAGCGGACTCTGTGTCAATGTTCTTGCTTCTCTACCCACTCTCCAGGGTCACACAGGGCATGCCTACTCTCACATTGCTTTGTGTTTCTGAGCCGTAAGTGCTGGGATGAGGAGGAATTGTGGCTGGAACGCTCTCAGAATGGATTCTCCTCTTCTCCACCAAGGCCTACCGAGGCCCAGCTCACACAGCAAGGCAGTAAGAACCACAGGATTACCTCGATCTCCTTGGCTCTCAGTCCAGTTTTCTCATTCAGCTGTAGCAAGGAGCATGTGAGATCATCAAAGTGAAAGGAAGGATGGAAACTCACACCCATGGAGCTGCAATGTTCCAGGCATTCTGCGCCCGGAGCCTGACTCCTCATTCCCTCAAATCCCAGCACAACTTTATGAGGAAGGTTTTAACCCATTTACTGATGAAGGAGCAGGCTCAGAGAAATGAGTAAGTGACTCTGAAGTTTCCAAACCCAGATCCTGTCTGATTCCAGATTCCCAGCAAGCCACCCTTCCTCTCATTCTGCAGGTGCCCCAGCACATCCATTCTCACTCAGCATGGGAGGCCAGGGACCTACATTCTTGCTATTCATTCCTTAATAATTTTGGAGAAGCCTCTCCCTCTTATCATAAAATAGGAAAGCCTAGATCTTATTCTGATTGTACCTCAGAATCACCAGGAGAGTTGAATGCACAAACAAATAGGCAGACTTGGGGCTCCACCCTGTGTTAGAGTAATTTCTATAATTCTTTAAAGCATTCCATGTGATTCTGATATATGGCCATGTTTGGGGACAACCTTGGGTCCTCGGAGCTCAGAGAGTCCTCTGGAATCTCTGATCAGAGTCCTTGTTTTTGGCACCAGTGGCTTACTTGTGGGTGCCACATACTTAGGGTGAACTGTGCCTTGAGACATACTCATAAATCAGGTTTCTACTCAATGGAAATGTGGAAGTCTGAGCCGAGGTCCGGAGGCAACTGTTTCCAGAGGATGTTTTCAAATGACAAACCTCAGGGTCTCCTGCTGGATGCAGCCCATGGGGCACAGGCACCCCAAGGTCTAAGAAGGGGCTGCAGGCGTATGGTAGTGTGAGAGAGCTTGGAGAATGGGGGGCCTCTGCTCCCCTCCTGCCAAGTGGGATTAGCATCGACCAAGCGACATCATTGGTTTTGCCCAGGAGTCAGGCCACCTAGCAAGCAGGCAAGACCAGGTTGAAGGCAGGATCAGGGCCTGTGTATGAGTCCCTGTATGGATTTTGCCCCTGGGGGTAGGACTGGGGATTTCTCCATCCCAGACCCTGGAGTACTTCCTGTGACTGCAAAGGGGAAAGCGGATTCCAGGCCTGAGCAGGCCCATTCCCATGGGAGGTTCCTCCAGGGATGGCCTATGCACCAGAGGACTGAGCAGAGCCAGGGATAGGTGGCCTGCTGGGGACATCTGTGAGTGGCTCAGGAGGCACTGGGGAAGGCAGGACTCACATTGGGGAAGGACCATAGAGGAGACAGCCATGACTATCCCGTGAACACCTGTTGGGGGAAGGAGGTGACAGGCCACAGTCCACATGATTCAGTTGTGCCAGGTCATGAGCACAGCTGCCAGGAGACTCATTAGCACAGATGGGTTCCCAGGTTGAAAGTGGCAGCTGCCCCCTGGGGTGGATGGGAAGGGCAGGTGTGCCTCCTTGCCAGGGGCTGGTTCTGGATTAGGTGCTGCATATCCCTCTCTCATTCAGTCCTCACACCTGCACTCTGACTTGGGTATTACTGCTTTCATTTTGCAGTTGAAGAAGTTCAGAAATGTTAATGAGCATGCCCAAGGTCACACTCTGTCTTGGTTGCTGTAGGGGGTGGTCCTGCTCCAATCTCCAGGGGTGCAGACCTGACACAGGCCTCCAATCACAGCACTGCAATGTCTTGGGCCATAGTGATGGGTTCAGGGATGGTCACGTGACCTAAGCCAGGCCAATCAGTACATATGGCTCAATTTCAGGCTTTGGTTGAAATGGTTGGGAAAGAGAAGTTTTCTTTCTTTTTAACTGGACACTGTGAGGATAGAGGCCTGGAGCCACTATGTGCCACCACATGAAAGAGCCTGCCTGGATGAAGCCAACACAGAAAGAAGCCGAACTAGCGTGGGCAGAGAAGGCATCCTAAAGCCTTACTGACACTGTACATCAGGAGTTGTCAGTGACATGAGCCAGTAAATTCCCCTTTTTGTGCAAACCAGTCTGATTTGTGTCATGGCACTTGCAACAGATACAGAGTTCTTAGAGGGAAGGATTAGATATTTTTTATCCTTGAGTGCTCAGCACAACATGGCATGCAGTAGGTACTCGGTAAGTGTTTACTGAACAGAGCTTTTTGAGCTCACAGCCCATCCTCCGTCCACTGCTATTGCACGCTTGTTGGCAGAGGTCATAGGGCATGCAGGCAAGAAGGTATGTATGTGGCAGGCCCTGAGACCAGCTGACTTGGCCTTTTTTTTTTTTTTGAGATGGAATTTTACTCTTTTTGCCCAGGCTGTAGTGCAATGGTGTGACCTCAACTCACTGCGACCTCTGTCTCCTGGGTTCAAGCAATTCTTCTGCCTCAGCCTCCCGAGTAGCTGGGATTACAGGCGCATACCACCATGCTCAGCTAATTTTGTATTTTAGTAGAGACAGGGTTTCACCATGTTGGCCAGGCTGGTCTTGAACTCCAGACCTCAGGTGTTCCACCCCAGCTCAGCCTCTCAAAGTGCTGGGATTATGGGCATGAGCCACTGTGCCTGGTTGGCCCTTCCTTAGGGGGACTGGCACACATTGTCTAAAGGGTGAAAGACCCCCAAAAAACCTTCAGTCAGAGAGTATCCCTAAAACATGCATGATTCATGGGGCGTCAACCTCTCCCTATTCGTATTGAGATGGAAGTAAGCCTGGGAGAGGAGTGGACTCTACAATACCCCCGGTCCCCTAATAATGTTTCCTTGCAGCTGTCAGAGCACTGGAGGGACTGGCCAGGGCTTCCTGACCTCTTCCTATAGCAGCTGGTCAGGGCTGGAAAGATCCTGGACTTGGAGTCATGACAGCGGGGTTCTACTCTCAGCTCTGTCACTAATTAGCCTAGACAAATCACTTCCCCTCTCTGAACTTCTTCTCCCATCTGTGAAATGGGGTTATTTGAATACCTGCCCAGTAGGTTGCTGTAGGCAGTGAAGGTGATCATGCCTAGAAAAGTGCTCTGTGGATGGTGAGGCACTGGACAGAGGGCAGAGTGGCCATCTTTTCAGGGATCATTGTTGCATTCCCCCTTCAACTCCTACCATGGCCAGTGCCTTTCCCTACACCTCCTTTGTCTCTTACCTCTCCGTCATGGCTACCTGCTCCAGCATGGCAGAGCCTGTGTTGGCCTTCCAGTTCCCAGAGATAGAGGTTCTCCTGTACCAGAACAAATAACACATTGAGGGAATTAGGGACCCTTGTCACTGATCTGGTTTCGTTCTTTGCTTTGACTGTTAGGAAGTTCTCATTCAAATATCTAGCTCACATAATGGCGTGTATTCTTAGGTACACATCTTGTCTTCAACTATATTTTTCTATGTTTATTTCCCTTCATGCTGTTTGTCTTTTTTATTTGTTGGACCTTACATATTGTTTTCTAAGTCATTTTTGAAATTGAAATATTAAATTTTAAAATGCCTACATCATCAGATGAAATATCACAAACTTTGGCCTTCTGTTTTTGAGGAGAATGAGGGCAGTGTGTGTAGCCTCTGTTGATTCTGGAATTTTCTGAAAGCCCCAAAAAGTTAGAAAAGTGATCCTAAGAGAGAAGACTACTTTTCTATGGTGAGGATTAGGAAGGCCTTCTGGTCTCTGACTGTCTCGTCACCCTTCTCTGTTCCCTGCCCTTTCTGCTCCAGTAACAACCGACCTCCCTTCTGATGCTGTGCTGCCCACAGCTCTTTCCCAGTGTCATGGCCTCTGCATGTCTTCTTCCCTTTGCCCCATATAGTCTTTGTCTCCATCTTTGCCTCCCTCAGTCTTATCATCCATCAGGTTTCATCTGACATACGACTTCCTGACAGGCTGGCTTCCTCAGCAAAAATAGACTGCTCACTATTCCACCCTACACTAATGCTCAGTAATGCTCATCTCCCTTCTGATGACGACTTTAGTGTCCTCTCTTCTTTGATGGTGGGGAACCCTGAGGGTAGGGGACATGGTTAACTGCATCCCCTGTATTCCCAGTGGGACCTGGCAGGTAGTAGGTGCCCAGTGGGTACCTACTGGGTGAGGAAATGTGTACATTGAGGGAGAATCCAGACAAGCTATCTATTACTAATGCTGCACCCTGGCAAAGATTGAACAAGTTTAAGCACAGTGGTGGTGGTAAAGGTATTTGTCTTATGGTCAAGGGAAAGTATGTGGTTGAGATCAAAGGGTGAACTGGGGAGAGGAATTGACACAAAAACATATCATTTGTAAAAGAGAAAACCATATGTAAAGATGCTGAGAATAGATGACCACCAGGAGCCATGAGGCACTGTACTGTAGTTGGAAAAGTTGTTTCCCACGGGGCTACAGGTGCACAGTTCTGAGGCTGGGCACATACACTGAGAAGGAACAAAAAAGTAGATAGATGGTGGATGGGGAGCCAGGTTTTTGTCTGTTGGAATGGGAAGTTATAGATTAGCAATCAGGAAAGGCTAAAATGAACCAAGTGGTATCGGGGTACTGGATGAAAGTCAGGGACATCAATATGACTCTGTCTAGCTTCATAGAGATGGGGATGGAGATATATATAAATAATTATGGATATATGTGCATACATGGGTAAGGATACACACATGTATTTCATTACTGTGTCTGCTAGGACATAGAAAGAATGACAGCCCAGTAGCAACAAGCACAAAGGCCCGAGTGCAGGGCAGGGAGTGGGCCAGAGAGGAGGCTCAATGGCTGGAGACATTACATTGAAGTCTGACACAAACCCCCTCACTTGGAGGTGGGCCAGCCCAAGGTCCAGGAAAGTCTGTAAGTAATGACAAAGTAGAGCTGTCAGGCCAGAAAGGCTCAGCAGAAAAAAATGCAGCAATGAGGTAATCCTCAAGAAAAGAAACTGGGACAAGGTGTCGTCAATGTCAAGTGGAAGCTCTAACAATGAAGAGAGGAGGGAAATGATATCATGACTGACGGCAGGGGCCTCAGGAATGCACTGGAATGGGCTATAACTCAGACGGGGCAGGGAGAAGGTGATGTTATCACCCCAAGGCCATCTGAGAGCAGTGGCAGGTCTGGCCTGCCTCATGGGAGGAAGAGGGTGATTGATAGAATAAGGCAGAGTTACTCCTTGAGAATGAGCTCCATCCCTTTCCTGGAAATACATCCTTCTAGGCCAACTGCCTGCATCTCCTCTAGTTTCTCAAGCAATGACAGGGTGCGGTAGTTGCAACAGAGACTGTATAGCCCATCAAGCCTAAAATGACCACCTGGCCCTCTACGGAAAAAAGTATGTTGACCCTTGGTCTAGGCAATCTAGGTAGTGCAAAAGCAACCATTGGCAATCCATAAATAGGTGTGCATGGCTGTGATCAACAGAACTGTATTTAGAGACAGGTAAAAGCTGGATTTGGCCTGTGATTGTGGTTTGCCGACCCTAGCATAAAGCACAGCTACTTCACACAGAAGTCCATGGATGGAGGGACTTTGCATCTGTCCAAGGCTAACCCTTGCAGTTCTCAGATATGGAGCCCTGCACACAGTCAGTGCCCAATAAATGCTTGGCAACTAGGCAATGATTAGCCCTCTGTGGTCTCATTTCAAGTGGAACTAACGATAACATTCCAGAGTGAAAGACAGAGAGGGCTTGGAGCAAAGACCTCTCCCAAGAACAAGACAGTCTACCTATCCCAGAAGGCCCCACTCATCCCTATAACCACAGCCCCATGTAATACATCCTCTGCTGAACCATCTCTAGGGTGAATGCAGGCTGCTTTTTTCTGCCTGGCATTCTTTCCTTTTCCTTTAGATTCAGCACCTCTGTTTCCACTGGGCAATGGCCCTGCCCACATTGCATGCTTTCATGGTGGGACTCTCCATACTGGTTTTCTGCTTTTCTTTAATCAGTAAAACATGATCAAAGTTGAACTAATCAGTACTTTTTCCATGGAATTGCAATCTTGAGTAAAGCCCTGAAAATGACTAGAGCAGATTCATTTACCAGTGGGGATGCCCAAAAATCATTTATTATTTCTGGCTGCCCAAATTCCTGGGGCTGCTCTGTGTCCTAATATTTCTGAAATTGATAATTTAGGTGGGAGACGTTTTATTCGCTTTTTTGAAGCTTCTGATAACCCATGGTTTTCTAATAAATTCCCTTTAAAAAACCCCATTAAATTAATGAGATGTGGTTTCTGTTGCTTGCAGGCAGACAAACCTGGCATAACCTCATAATTGGTCTTACTGGCTTCAGAGAAACCCCTTTGCAACTCATAGCCTCATGGTCACCTTTTTATAAACACAGATCAGATCCTTTGCTCAGAAGGAAAGAGAAAAAAAAAATCCAAAACCTTCAGCAAGGTATCTAAAGCCTTCCTTGATTTGTCCCTAAATGTCCCTTTCAAAGACATGTATCCTGTGTGTACTTGCAGTTCCCTAGACATGGTAAGCACCTTTCTTGCTCTGGAGGAAACTGCCCTTGTTTGGATAGACAGATACCTGCCCAGCGATAAGCAGTGATCAAACATCAGCCAATTAGCTGCACTGACCAGAGAAGAAGGGCAGTAAGGATACGGGAAGGAGGAGAATGACGCTCCCGTGGAGGAGACAGTGGCTGGACACGCACTTCTGGTCTCCCTTCCTCCCATGCTCCCCCAGCCCCTTCCCCAGAGACTCACATGTATGCCTTGTAGTTGGATCCAATTTTCTGGACGCGGATGTCATACTTGGAGTCGATGAAGGCCTCGGTGGTGGCATAGGTTTTGGCCATGGCGACCACGCTGGTGATGTCCTGGAAGTCAAGCTGGTTTTCCACTTTGATCTGTGTGGGAGGACGAGGGGGATAAGTGCCACCCACCCTGCGTTCACCGAGCCCACCCTGTGCCAGGAACGAGTGCTCATCTCACATAAATTTCTTTTAGAAGGTCACCTCCCCGCAGGGCAGACAGACACAGGAAGTAAATCATTCCACCACACGTTGCACAAGCTACAGAGGGGAAGGGAGCAATTCCACTCGGGTGTTCGAGAAAGCCTCATAGAAGAGGTGAGTTCTGCACTGGGTTTGGAAGGATGAACACGTTTCAGATGGGTGAGGTAGTGGGGCCATCCTCCAGAGATGCGTGAGGAACCCACAGTGGGGGAAAGGGCAGGTGGTGCAGACTCACTGATAAGGGACACTGCACGGGCCATTGGGGGACAGACTGTGGAGGGCCACAGTCTCTGGGAAGGAGCTAGGATTTTAGCCTGAATTTTCTGGAAAGCCACTGAAAGAGGGAGTGGAGTTTAAACAAGGAAATGGCTTAGTTTGTGTTTAAGCAAAATCATGAAGCAGTTGTGTAGAGCATTGAATGGAGGGGTGTGATATGTGACACAGAGAGACCAGTTAGGAAGAAGGGAGTGTTCATGTGTGTGTATGTATGTGTAAGGTACATACATGCGTAGAGTAGGGGGAGTTTGTGGGAGATGTCTGTGTGTGGTGTGTTTGCATGTGTTTGATGTATGGTATGTGTAGTATGTTCTTCATGTGTTCATATGGTGTGCGTATGTAGTGTGCGATATGTGTGGTGTGTTTGCTGTATGTGCTGTGGCTGTGTGTTGTACATGTGGTGTGTGATATGTGGTGCTTCTGTGTGTATGTGTGTGTGCATGCAGGCATGCATTGGAGAGTCTAGCTTCTCTAGGCCAGAGGCTGGGGGAGAAATTCACACTGTTTACTCGGCTGAGCCAGGAACACAGAGAGGTGTCCTGGGCTTGGGGAGAGGTCCCAGGAGAGCTTCCAAGGCCAAGCACAGAGGACAAGGCCAAGGTTCCATAATAGTGATCTTAAGACAGAACAGAGGCTGACTCCCAGTGGCTATGGACAGCTGGGCCAGCTGCTCCCTTCCACTGGCCATGGGAGCCCTCCTTGTTCAGAAGTGGCTTCCACTTTCCCTGTCACCCTCACCCCGACAGCAGAGGAGTTCTGATGCTGAGTCAGAGATGGGCAGAGCCCTGTGGAGCGGCTGGGCACTGGGCGGTCCATGTGGGGTTGGTCTCAGACCACACCTCATCTCACGTCCTTCTGATCTCCCTCTCAGCCCTTTCCTGCCTGCCCTTCGAGGCTCAGTGCTGCCTTGACAACTCCATCCCTCCCACAAGAATGTCCACTCACACTTGTACCAGCTGCGGCACTTACACAGGGTCTTTACAGCTCTCCATGGGGCCCAAACAGGATTGTGAGCAGGCAGGCAGGCTGGGCATTGTCGTGGTCACTTAACAGATATAGAAACTGAGATTTCTTGACTTGCTCAACGTTATAAAGCAGCTGAGCCCGGAGCTCAGCTTGAAACTCTGGACTCTGAAGGCACGGCTTTTCCTTGCACTATCTCAGGGGTCTCTACATAGGGGCCTGCCGGTTCTACCATAATGAACATAATCAGCAACAGGAGAGAGGATGGACAAGCCGTCTCCCTTCTCGGCTCTCTGAGTGATGACTCCAAGTCTCAATTTTCAGGAAAAATAAAGGTGACCAGGCGAGAATTCCCTGTCTTCCAACCCTTTCAAACTCATCAGTTGTCCCACTTCATCCTCCCAGCTTCAGTGGCGGTGGTGTGCCTCCTCCCTGTCCCCACTTCCTTTAATAACAGGACCCCTTGGTTTCAGCTGGGTACCTGGCCTCCTCAGCTAGAGATTACTTTGCTTTAGTCTCTCGTGCAGGTAAATGTGCCCATCTCCAAGCTCTGGCCAATGAAAACTGGGTAGCTGTGATATGAGCAACCTCTGGGTGGTGGCCTGAAGATGAAGATAATCTTCCTGTCCTTTTGCTCTGGCTAGGAATGTGAACATGATGGTATGAGCAGCAGCAGCCATCTTGGGCCATGAGATGGAAGCTGCATGTTGAGGATGGCTGAGTAGAAAGATGGAAGGACTTGGGTCACCTACACTGTGAAGCTCCTTATTAGCCCTTGACTTGGACTCTTACATGAGAGAGAAAAAAACTTTAATCTTGTTTAAGCCACTATTCTCTTGGTCTTTTTTTTTTTCTTTCTTGAGATAGGATCTCAATATGTTACTCAAACTGAGTGCTGTGGCATGATCATGGCTCACTGCAGCCTTGACTTCCTGAGCTCAAGCAATTCTCCTGCTTCAGCCTGCCGAGTAGTTGGGACTACAGGTGTGCGCTACCACTCCCTGCTAATTTTTTATTATTTGTAGAGACAGGGCCTCACTATGTTGACCATGCTGGTCTGAAACTCCTAGGTTCAAGTGATCTTTCCGCCTTGGTCTTCCAAAGTGCTGGGATTACAGACTCGAGCCACTGCGCCTGGCCCCTCTTATGTGGGTCTTTGTTAAAGCAGCCAAACGACATTTCTGCTCATTTTTTTTAGTCTCTTGCTTTTCATTGATTCTTTATGCTTTGGATTAACATGATCAAGAATCCACCATTCTCCTCAACATGTTCCTGCTTTTCAGAACCTCAGTGACTTGCCACTACCTATTTCTACACCTTCATTCCCCACTGGCCCCTCAACCCACTTTCTTTACGTTTTACTCATTACCATTCCCCTGAGACTGATTTGGCGAAGGTCTTGTTTGGTCCCCTCTTTGGCAAATCCCACAGAGGGCGTTTGGTCCTTGTAGCACCTGAAATTGGTGAACTTTGGGAAGTACGATTTCCATAGCACTGTTTTTCCAGTTCTCACCCTTCCTTTCTGGCAACTTCTTTACAGTCTATGTTGCCACCTCTTCCACCAATGCCCCTTTGATGGTCCTGGGGTTTCATCTCAGCCAATATTCAGGGTCAGGTGGAGAGAATCAGAAGTGCCAAAATTAAAGAATGAGGTGAGTGTTTGCAGGGACAGCTTTTCTAATTCACATTTCTGTCCTTGGTGGCTTTGGGAAGAACCAGAACTTCTTTGGCACCTTGGTTTCCTAGATGGCCCTGAGCAGTGGGCTACCTCGGAGATATCCAGCTGTCCACAGCATCATTTTCCTGCCTTACAGTCATGATACACCCTGATACAGGGGCATGTGTCCACCCAGGGTGCACTTGACACTCTCTCCTCTCCCTGGCATCTTTGTACGGCTGTGTGCCCACATTTTAGCCAACAAGATGTGAGCAGAAGAGATGTATGAACTTCCAGGATGTGCTGTTCAAGAGCAGGGGAGAGCTTTCTACTCCCCTCCTCTCTCCTCTTCCTGGCTGGAGTGTGGACCATCTTTGACAGTGTAGCAGAGGACAACACACCAGGGATGGTTGACCAAAAAGATGGAAGAAGCCCATGTTCTTGAAACCATGGTGGTTCCACACCAGCCCTGGGCTGCTTTTGTGCAGACCAGAGAAAGGAAGTCCTCGTTTGTTTACACCATTCTAAGTCTTTGTTATGGAAGCTGAAATTTATCCCAATGATTATACAAGCCGTAAATAAATTTTTGTTGACTACATCATGCATTCTTTCACAGGGTAGACAAAGGGGGCAAAGGGAGAAAGCAAAGACATAGTAGTTTAATTAATTCAGGAGTGGGCAGCCGCCCTCTGGGAACCCTGGTCTTCTGTCTTAGTTTGAGTGGTTTTGCATGAGGGTTCCCATTCTTTCCTCTCCAACAGTCAGCATGGAACCCAGGTGTCTCTCTCCCTCTCTTTTTCTTTTTTGAGACAGAGTCTCACTTACTCTGTTGCCCAGGCTGGAGTGCAATGGCATGATCTCGGCTCATTGCAACTTCCGCCTTCTGGGTTCAAGCGATTCTTCTGCTTCAGCCTCCTGAGTAGCTGGGACTATAGGTGTGTGCCATTACACCTGACTGATTTTTGTATTTTTAGTAGAGATGGGGTTTCATCATGTTGCCCAGGCTGGTCTTGAACTCCTGACCTCAAGTGATCCGCCTGCCTCTGCCTCCCAAAGTGCTGGGATTACAGGCATGAGTGCAGGTCTCTTTTACACAGGTTTTTCAAAGCTTCAGGAGAGGCCCTGGCCCCAAATGTCCCTTTTAATTTTATTATTTATTTGTTTATTTAAAGAGACAGGGTCTCACTCTGTCACACAGGCTGGAGTGCAGTGGCACAGTCATGACTCACTGCTGCCTTGAACTACTGGGCTCAAGCGATGCTCCGACCTCAGCCACTTGCGTAGCTGGGACTACAGGCATCACCACGTCCAGCCAATTTTATGTTCTTTTTCCTTACAGAGGGCCTCCTACACTGTATGATGCCTGGGCAATATAAAACTGGTTCTACCCCTGGAACCACCATTTCTGTCTCCCGTTAGACTGTGAGCTTCTTGAGGGCAGATGAGTGTTGTTCCCAGCTGTCGTATTGGTGCCAGGTACACTGCACACACTCTACACGAGTTTGCTGGATTGAATTTAAGAAGGCTGGATCAAGATCTGCTTATAATTTGGGGAGGGGAGGCAAGAAACTGGAAGGAAATACAAAGGAGTTAAAAAAAAAAAAGGCAAAGAAACTGTGTTTCAAGGAAATTTATCTTTTACAAAGTGGATATTTCCATGCATTCTTGGGTGGGTGCTAAGCTCTCCTAGGGTTACTGCCTCCTTCATGAGTTCTTGCGAACCGGAAGAATTCCAGGATTCTGGTAAAGGGGGCAGGTGGTCTGGAGCCTGGGTGGGTGGGTGCTGGAGGGGACTCTGGGATGGTCCTCAGGCCAGAGGGTAGGTGAGGCGAGAGGGCACCGGGGACACAGCCCTGAGGATGGTGAAATGGCTGCTGGCCTGGGCAAGGAGTCTTGGCACTCCGCTTTATTTACTGGCTGGAAATCCCTCCAAGGGTTCACAAAGACAAGCTGAAAACAGGAAGCCCTCAATGAGCTGTGATTCAAGATTGCCCAT